TTTCTTGTCGGTGCCCGTTGGCAGCCCCCCGAGGGCTGCGGCCCCGACACCCGTGTCCCCGGGGGCACGTCGTGCCCCCCGAGTTTTTCCCTTTGCCCGGAGGGGGGGCAGGGGTCAGAGCGGGGCAGGCAGTGAGTTTCTGGGGGTCACCACCCACCCCGGGTGTGTTTCTGGCCGGAAAAACAACCCCTTGGGGTGCTCCCGAGCCCCTTCACCCGCCGTTCCCGGCAGATGGCACTTGGCTGCGGCGCCGCCTCCATCCAGCGGTGACTCAGAAACCGTCACAGCAGCCAAAAACACTGGGGAAAAAAAATATCTAGTAGAAAATCAAGTTGTAGTACGTGTGTGTGGGAACAACCTCTTTCTCCTTTTGATTGAAGTGTTTTTACGATCCTGCCGTGGGCCCCGGGGGCGGGGGTTATGTGGGTCGTCCTACTCTCTGTCTTGTTTGAAGGGGTGGTTTTAACACGGTCATCAGCCAGGGAAAAAACAGGACCAAGGAAAACTGGTTATTATTTCACCTTAGAGTACGATGGGGAGTGCGCTTCCCAAGGGGCTGTGGGAGGGCAGGCAGGCAAATCGCCATCTTAACGTGCTTTTGGTGTGCAGGTGATGGTCACCAGCTCAGCTATCTCCTGATCCACACCTAACACCCGTGGTCTGTGCTTTTTAAAGAAAGGGAGGAGAAAACAGGTCTTCGTTGGTCTGGTTCCAGCCGTGGAGGCAATGTTGTCCGGCTGGCACCAAGCCAGGGGCTGAGGTGGAAGAGGGGAAGCTCACGAGTTTTTACGATCCTGCCGTGGGCCCCGGGGGCGGGGGTTATGTGGGTCGTCCTACTCTCTGTCTTGTTTGAAGGGGTGGTTTTAACACGGTCATCAGCCAGGGAAAAAACAGGACCAAGCAAAACTGGTTATTATTTCACCTTAGAGTACGACGGGGAGTGCGCTTCCCAAGGGGCTGTGGGAGGGCAGGCAGGCAAATCGCCATCTTAACGTGCTTTTGGTGTGCAGGTGATGGTCACCAGCTCAGCTATCTCCTGATCCACACCTAACACCCGTGGTCTGTGCTTTTTAAAGAAAGGGAGGAGAAAACAGGTCTTCGTTGGTCTGGTTCCAGCCGTGGAGGCAATGTTATCCGGCTGGCACCAAGCCAGGGGCTGAGGTGGAAGAGGGGAAGCTCACGATGGCTGAAAACCACCTCAGAGGTCTGTTGCCTTTCCCATATATCAGGTCCTGTGCCAGATGCAAGGGGCACCTCATGACAGGAGGCGATGGCTGAAAACCACCTCAGAGGTCTGTTGTCCTTCCCATATGTCAGGTCCTGTGCCAGATACAAGGGGTCTCTCACGACAGGAAGCACATTGAGAAGCTGGAGCGTGTCCAGAGAAGGGCAACACAGCTGGAGAGGGGTCTGGAGCACAAGGAGAAGGGTCTGGAGAAATTCTGAGGGAGCTGGGGGTGTTCAGCCTGGAGAAAAGGAGGCTGAGGGGAGACCTTCTGGCTCTCTCCAACTCCCTGACAGGAGGGTGTAGCCAGGGGGGGTCGGTCTCTTCTCCCAAGGAACAGGTGATGGGACAAGAGGAAACGGCCTCAAGTTGCCCCAGGGGAGGTTTGGGATGGATATCAGGAAAAATTTCTTCCCCAAAAGGGTTGTGAAGCCTTGGCAGAAGCTGCCCAGGGCAGTGGTGGAGTCACCATCACTGGAAGTATTTCAAAGTTGGGCAGACGTGGTGCTGAGGGACATGGGTCAGGGGTGGGTTTGGCAGTGTTGGGTTGATGGTTGGTCTTGGCGATCTGACAGGTCCCTTCCAACCTGGATGATTCTATGATTCTAAGAAGGTCTTTTGAGATGAGAAGTCCTTAGCTGTCTTTTGCCACTCATTAGCATATGTGGCCGTGAGGGCTTTCTTCTGGAGGACCCTGATGAGCTCAGGCAGTTCCTGATCTGCAGTTGGCTGTAGATAAGCATGCAAGTCTTGTAGCCGATGGCTTACACCAGCTGGGACACGTAGGGTCCACCATGTGCTGGCAGTCTGGCCAGGTTTCAGACTGGGACACCTCGATAATTTATGTGTACAAAATCCAGGCTGACTGTGGAAAAACCACAGCTAAATGAGCTGGAGGTTTGGGACCGAGTGTTATTTCACTACTGGTCTGGCCATGCACGTGTGTGTGTGTGCTGTCTGTGGAGGCACACGTGTGTGTCCCTGACTCTGTATGTGTACGTCTCTAGGCACACCATTTTTTGGAGGTGTCTTCATAAGAGCGTTTCTAACCACAGCCTTCTGCCTTTTAGGAGTTTGGCCAATTTGGGAAGTTTCTACGCAGAGCCAAAAGATGACAGTAGAAGATTAGGGCTTCCTTACACCATTTCTCGTGGTCAGTTTGCTGCACGCTCTGCTCATTTCCTGAAGACACTAAGGGTGAGATGCCTCATGGGACGGTCCCGTGGGTCTGGCAGTGACGTTTCGCTTTCTGGGTAAGACTGGGTGGAAGTTCCTGTAAACTGGGAAACGGGGAGTCGCTCCTTCTGGTGGACTGTGTGCAAATCAGATAGCAACTTACTTGGCTCTGAAACGTGAACAGAAAGCTCAGGAACAGGCCACACTCTTTTTTACACCAGTTTTCCCAGTTTAATGGTGTATTAGGAAATGCACAGTTGGTGATCCCAAACCAACACGTAACGTAACGCGTGGATCTGAGCAGGGTTTCGGTTCGGGGTGTCCCCCTTGGTGGTGGTGGCCAGGGCTAAGGAGGAGCAGGGAGGCAGGAGGGACCTGGAACTCTCTTCTGCTGTTATCAGGGCGGCCCCAGCACGTCCCAGCTCCTTATCAGCCCCAGCAGAGCCTCCATACGTCCTCCATACGTCCTCCATACGCTGCCGTAGGGGCCGTCCCCTCCGCAGGGAGCCAGGGGCTGGGAGGGATGTCCCGGCAGACGTGAGCGGGGCAGGAGCGGGCACGGTGGGGACAGGCCATGCTGGACCTCCTCGTTCTGAGCCTCCACTTCTTCCTCTGCTTTCTCATCTTCCTCGCCATCTGGCGTGGACACAAGGTACGGGGGGGCTCGCTGCCACCATCCCCCGGGGTGGCCCAGCATCCCCCCACCCCTGGGACGCCCTTCTCACCTTTTTTAGCCTGATTTTTCAGGGGAAGTGATGGTGCTGTGGTTTTGGGGGGGGAATTGGAAAATGTCTGTAAGCAAATTTAATAGGAAGGCTGGTTTTGTAGTAAAACTACTCATGTCCTCTGCTGGGAGAGGCTGTTAAATGTTCAAAATACATAAGAGGAGGAAGGGGAGACAGATATATTTGCTAAAAAGGCCAGGTTGAATATAGCTTCTCAATAAACAATTTTTTTTTCCCTTTTGCAGATGAAAATGTTATCAACTTGTATCAGTTTGTATTTCTAGCCGTAATATTATTTAAAGAGTGTTGGATTTACACGTAAATGCTACCCATCGCATAGCTAAATCGTACAGTATTTCACAAGTAGATTCCTTGTATTTTTTTTGCATATGCCTTTCCAGGGAATATCACGATTAAAGTGCAGAGTAAATGAATAGTGATTGAGGAGTTATCGTGCCTCAGGTATCAGGTTTGCAGCAGCTGGTGGCCCCAGTCCTGGTTCTGTCAGTGAACACGTTTCCCAAACATTATCACCAAACCCCTGAGCTCTGCTTTGTGTGCGCCTTGATAGTCTTCTGCTGAAACTTCTGCTCCTTCTGTCCCACGTGTCGAACGGGTCGGGGTTTTCCCTGGGACAGAGACATCCATTCTGCACTGAGAAATCCAAACATGAACTGCTCTATAAGTCATTTTCTTAATTTTTTTTTTTTTTCTTGTATTCTAAGGATGTGGATTTGCCCAGCTCAGGCACCGGCACAGCTGAAACGACATGGGTCAGGGGTGGGTTTGGCAGTGTTGGGTTGATGGTTGGTCTTGGCGATCTGACAGGTCCCTTCCAACCTGGATGATTCTATGATTCTAAGAAGGTCTTTTGAGATGAGAAGTCCTTAGCTGTCTTTTGCCACTCATTAGCATATGTGGCCGTGAGGGCTTTCTTCTGGAGGACCCTGATGAGCTCAGGCAGTTCCTGATCTGCAGTTGGCTGTAGATAAGCATGCAAGTCTTGTAGCCGATGGCTTACACCAGCTGGGACACGTAGGGTCCACCATGTGCTGGCAGTCTGGCCAGGTTTCAGACTGGGACACCTCGATAATTTATGTGTACAAAATCCAGGCTGACTGTGGAAAAACCACAGCTAAATGAGCTGGAGGTTTGGGACCGAGTGTTATTTCACTACTGGTCTGGCCATGCACGTGTGTGTGTGTGCTGTCTGTGGAGGCACACGTGTGTGTCCCTGACTCTGTACGTGTACGTCTCTAGGCACACCATTTTTTGGAGGTGTCTTCATAAGAGCGTTTCTAACCACAGCCTTCTGCCTTTTAGGAGTTTGGCCAATTTGGGAAGTTTCTACGCAGAGCCAAAAGATGACAGTAGAAGATTAGGGCTTCCTTACACCATTTCTCGTGGTCAGTTTGCTGCACGCTCTGCTCATTTCCTGAAGACACTAAGGGTGAGATGCCTCATGGGACGGTCCCGTGGGTCTGGCAGTGACGTTTCGCTTTCTGGGTAAGACTGGGTGGAAGTTCCTGTAAACTGGGAAACGGGGAGTCACTCCTTCTGGTGGACTGTGTGCAAATCAGATAGCAACTTACTTGGCTCTGAAACGTGAACAGAAAGCTCAGGAACAGGCCACACTCTTTTTTACACCAGTTTTCCCAGTTTAATGGTGTATTAGGAAATGCACAGTTGGTGATCCCAAACCAACACGTAACGTAACGCGTGGATCTGAGCAGGGTTTCGGTTCGGGGTGTCCCCCTTGGTGGTGGTGGCCAGGGCTAAGGAGGAGCAGGGAGGCAGGAGGGACCTGGAACTCTCTTCTGCTGTTATCAGGGCGGCCCCAGCACGTCCCAGCTCCTTATCAGCCCCAGCAGAGCCTCCATACGCTGCCGTAGGGGCCGTCCCCTCCGCAGGGAGCCAGGGGCTGGGAGGGATGTCCCGGCAGACGTGAGCGGGGCAGGAGCGGGCACGGTGGGGACAGGCCATGCTGGACCTCCTCGTTCTGAGCCTCCACTTCTTCCTCTGCTTTCTCATCTTCCTCGCCATCTGGCGTGGACACAAGGTACGGGGGGGCTCGCTGCCACCATCCCCCGGGGTGGCCCAGCATCCCCCCACCCCTGGGACGCCCTTCTCACCTTTTTTAGCCTGATTTTTCAGGGGAAGTGATGGTGCTGTGGTTTTTTGGGGGGGAATTGGAATGTGTCTGTAAGCAAATTTAATAGGAAGGCTGGTTTTGTAGTAAAAGTACTCATGTCCTCTGCTGGGAGAGGCTGTTAAATGTTCAAAATACATAAGAGGAGGAAGGGGAGACAGATATATTTGCTAAAAAGGCCAGGTTGAATATAGCTTCTCAATAAACGATTTTTTTTTCCCTTTTGCAGATGAAAATGTTATCAACTTGTATCAGTTTGTATTTCTAGCCATAATATTATTTAAAGAGTGTTGGATTTACACGTAAATGCTACCCATCGCATAGCTAAATCGTACAGTATTTCACAAGCAGATTCCTTGTATTTTTTTTGCATATGCCTTTCCAGGGAATATCACGATTAAAGTGCAGAGTAAATGAATAGTGATTGAGGAGTTATCGTGCCTCAGGTATCAGGTTTGCAGCAGCTGGTGGCCCCAGTCCTGGTTCTGTCAGTGAACACGTTTCCCAAACATTATCACCAAACCCCTGAGCTCTGCTTTGTGTGCGCCTTGATAGTCTTCTGCTGAAACTTCTGCTCCTTCTGTCCCACGTGTCGAACGGGTCGGGGTTTTCCCTGGGACAGAGACATCCATTCTGCACTGAGAAATCCAAACATGAACTGCTCTATAAGTCATTTTCTTAATTTTTTTTTTTTTTCTTGTATTCTAAGGATGTGGATTTGCCCAGCTCAGGCACCGGCACAGCTGAAACGGGGCCAGATGGTCTTATATTTATTGGCAAAGAAGAAGACATAAAGCAGTCCCAAAGAACAACAGCCAAAGTCAATGGCAGAGAAGTTGTTGTTTTCTACCATGAAGGGAAATTTCACGCTTTGGACTCGCGCTGCTACCGTAAGATATTTGCACGTATGATCTCAAAGTTACAACAATTAAGGGTAAATTCTGCTGCATAAATTAATACTGTGTTCTACTTTTTTTCAGACGAAGGAGGCCCTCTGCGTCATTGGCAAAGAAGAAGACATAAAGCAGTCCCAAAGAACAACAGCCAAAGTCAATGGCAGAGAAGTTGTTGTTTTCTACCATGAAGGGAAATTTCATGCTTTGGACTCACGCTGCTACCGTAAGATATTTGCACATATGATCTCAAAGTTACAACAATTAAGGGTAAATTCTGCTGCATAAATTAATACTGTGTTCTACTTTTTTTCAGACGAAGGAGGTCCTTTGCGTCTTGGAGAAATAGAGGTATGTAAGCAAAATGAAAATAATGTAGTGGCATGGAGTCATGCGAAAACTCTAATTAACTTTTTTGGAATATTTTTAGCTGAACATAACATCAAAAGAAATAAATACATATGTAAAATACAGCCAATCACCAAACAAGTCTTTTGCCCTAGAGGTTCTTCCAGGAGGAGGACCAGCAGGTGATGACTTGCTATTCTTATCTTCATCTTCTTGCAGGATATCAATGGCCAAGCATGTATTGTTTGCCCTTGGCATAAGTATGTAATTACTTTGGAAACAGGAGAAGGATTGTATGAAGGAATAAACCCTTTGGAGCCATCACCGACGCCGCAGTGGCAATCCAAAGGAGTCAAACAGAGGATTCACAAACTCACAATAGACAATGGGAACGTTTATTTGAGTCCCCCAGATTTGTCTGTAAGCTTTGACTCCGATTATTTTGCTGACAAGTACAAAAATGGTGGTGATCTATCTATGGAAAAACAAAGCCAGTCACAAGCAGCAGAGTAAGGCACATCCAGAAGGCAGAATCCTGGCGAATGCCCCGACGGACAACCATCGTCATGGAATAAAAATGTACTGTGGCCGTGAAAGATCGTCTCCAGATTAAGTTCTAGCGTTAATGTTATGTTAAAGCACTGAAACACGTAGAATTCAGTAAGATAAGAAGTTCTGCATTGTCAGAAATGTGACTGATCTTGTGCCAATGATTTATTTTTTTTTTACTTGCATTTCAAAAGGACTTCTTTACAACAGAACGCTTCACAATACTTGATATTTTAGAAATCCTGTTTTGTTAGAATTGTTTTTTTCAGTTTTAGAAGGGGATCTAGTAAATTACTACTTAAGGTAATAGTTTACATTGTTTAAGGTAAATAGTTAGGTGTAAAGGTTATGTTTATATACTTAACAGTTTATACTGCCTTCGGTATAAATGACATGGAAAGTTTTAACTTTTTAGATACGCACGCAATTTGTGTAGGTTTGTTAAGAGCCATAAAGAGAAGCACAAAACTCGAGCATGTTTTAGTGACCTTAGTGTATTACTACTGTGACTACATAGAAGTATTTCTTTTCCTTCTCCTCATCGAACTCTTTTTGGTAGTTCATCGAATAACGTGACAAGTGTTTGCCAAGTATGGCTTGTTCTTCCTGGTTCTGTTGGATAAGGAAGGAGCTGTTGGGTATAAAAACCTGATACATAATGTCGTGGCTTGTTTGTTTTTATTTGTTGTGAGTAAGTACATTTTTATACATTCCTTTGAAAAAGTGTGCTTTCAGTTGAGAGCCAAAAGTGAGGTTTCTCTGGGTGCGTTTACCGTGTAACACCAGCTTTGCCCCAAAAACCCCTCAGAGAAAGTTCCCCCCACCCCAAGCTGTGCTGGATGAGGGTCAGGCTGGGCTCCAGGACATGGTGGGTTCTCCTGCTGAGCTGAGGGTGCAGAGCTGCTTCCCCTGCCAATCCTCAGCATCCTCACATAATGCCTGCAGCATTTTGGGGTGCCTTTTGGGCTGATTTGTTGGCTGTTTGTGAGGTTGGGTCATAATCGGGTTGGGTTTGAGGTTGCCTGGTCTCCATCTGTGTGTTTCTTCTGTGCACACAGAGGGTTGTCTGGTTTTTAGTGTCCATGACGGGTAAGTAGGTGTGTGTCAACACCATTGTTCGTATAAATGTATTTAAAAGCAGCGAAGCGTGGGGAGGTATCAGAGGAAACATCTGTGCCCGATGGATCACAATGAAAAAGGCAAAGCACACAATCGATTTAAAATTAGATGGGCAAAATTTGGATGTCCACCTCTGATCATGCTTCCTTGTTTTGCTTCCATGGTGAACAGGGAGACTTGGCACCTTCAAGGTGCTCTTAAGCTGACCTCTTCCGCTTTTGTGTTTTAGAACTACAGCACAGAAATGCCTTCCTCCTCCTCCTGCTCCTCTCGCTGACCGCTCATCCAGCCACTGCTGGTGAGATCAGATGCGAATGCCCACCTTCTCTCAGATGAATCACATCTTCATCATCTGCTAGGAAATGCTGTGACATATAGACCAGTTCTGGGGTTTTGTTGGTTTGTTGGTGTTTTTTTTGAAGGAATGCTTACCCTTCTCCCCTCACAGTCATGGGGCAGATGGTGGGAAGGTGGGAGGTGATAGAGCTGGTGCTCCAAGGGGCCTGGACCACACATCCCTTTGCGTTGTGCCAAGGGAATGGAGAATTTTTCCCTTCCCTTCCCTTCCCTTCCCTTCCCAACTGACCGTGTCTGCGATAAAACCTGACCATCAGTGTCTTGTCCTGCTGAAGAACATGGATCATACAAAAGAAAAGGATTACAAGGTCTTTGGATATACCTGCATTGACTCATATGATTCCTTAAAGTGTATTTTTTATTGCCTTTTTTTTTTTTAATACTGTGATAATGGAAATTAGCTATTTAAATTAATAAAGATGCAGTTCAACCTAAGAAAGTACCAATTATGAGTAATATGCTCTTGCCTGTGTGACATTTAGTAGAAGGTTAGTAACAGGAAGTTTTACTTGAAAGTTTCATGAGCACGTTCATATTAGTGGAAAATTGCTCAGGCTTTTGCAGAATGGCAATTTTTTGGCTAATTTGGCTAATCCAGCAAAGTGTTTAATCATATGTTTACTGTTAATCATATGAAATGAGTGGAACTGTACGTCCAGGCTGAGATAAGTCCCTTTCTCCTCCTCCTCCTCCTCCTCCTCCTCCTGCTCCTCTCGCTGACCGCTCATCCAGCCACTGCTGGTGAGATCAGATGCGAATGCCCACCTTCTCTCAGATGAATCACATCTTCATCATCTGCTAGGAAATGCTGTGACATATAGACCAGTTCTGGGGTTTTGTTGGTTTGTTGGTGTTTTTTTTGAAGGAATGCTTACCCTTCTCCCCTCACAGTCATGGGGCAGATGGTGGGAAGGTGGGAGGTGATAGAGCTGGTGCTCCAAGGGGCCTGGACCACACATCCCTTTGCGTTGTGCCAAGGGAATGGAGAATTTTTCCCTTCCCTTCCCTTCCCTTCCCTTCCCTTCCCAACTGACCGTGTCTGCGATAAAACCTGACCATCAGTGTCTTGTCCTGCTGAAGAACATGGATCATACAAAAGAAAAGGATTACAAGGTCTTTGGATATACCTGCATTGACTCATATGATTCCTTAAAGTGTATTTTTTATTGCCTTTTTTTTTTTTAATACTGTGATAATGGAAATTAGCTATTTAAATTAATAAAGATGCAGTTCAACCTAAGAAAGTACCAATTATGAGTAATATGCTCTTGCCTGTGTGACATTTAGTAGAAGGTTAGTAACAGGAAGTTTTACTTGAAAGTTTCATGAGCACGTTCATATTAGTGGAAAATTGCTCAGGCTTTTGCAGAATGGCAATTTTTTGGCTAATTTGGCTAATCCAGCAAAGTGTTTAATCATATGTTTACTGTTAATCATATGAAATGAGTGGAACTGTACGTCCAGGCTGAGATAAGTCCCTTTCCTTTGGTACTTCTCAAGCCTAATAACTACCTTCAAGCTTATCAGGTGTTTTTTGCTTTTACTTAAAACATGTCTTTATTTGCCAGGAGATCGCATTAATTTAATATCTAAAGGTTGTCAGTTAGTTTGCTTTCCCCTCAATTTTCTTGTTGATGATCACAGAAGGAACAGAGAATTATTAACTCAGTGGCTGTGAACAAAGGAGGGAGAGTTACCTGGCTGTTAGATATAATTTTTTTTATTATTTTTTGACAGCAAAGAACAAAACCTGCAGTGTTTTAAAGTTTCTACCCTTAAAAATATATATGCACTTTTTGTTTTATATGCCTGAGCTTTGAAGTGCTAGAAGATGGGCCTAATTTGAAAATACTGTGGACATTTCTGAGTCTCTCGCCCTGACGGCCCTTTCTAGGTCTGTAGTTACATGAAGAGATCACGTGAAGACACAAAAAATGCGGGGGATTTTCCTGAAAGGGTAAATCAGGAGGTTGGTGGGAGGGATGGAGGGGAACCTGGGGGACCTTGGGTGTGATGGGAGAGGGGGGACAGCGGGGAGGGAGCTGGGTGAGTGTTGAGGGGTGTCGGGATGGGTGGGAACGGGAGGTGGTTGGGGAAAACCAAAAAAGGCAGGAAAAGGCCCTTTTGGGAGCAAGGAGACTGAAACGAGGTGGAGAGGTCACCGAGAGCTGCCCAGGGAGCTGGTGGAGGATGGGTGGGACGAGGCTGTTTGCACTTAGGGACCAATGGCGGGATAATGAGGGAGGTGAGGAGCGGTGAAGTGAAGGCAGCCAGAATGAGGTGGCATTTAAGGGACAACCAAGAGAGAGAAGGGATGAGTAGTTGTGGGCAAGAGACCAAAAAGTCACTGGCTGGATAATTAGAGCTTCCTGGAGAGATGTGTTAATGAGAACCACGTTGAGATCAACCCTCCAGATCATTCAGGAGGAGTGTTTTGTTGGTGATAGTTTTGGGGGGCTTAGTTTAATTTGACAAATGAGCAAACACCATCTGTTTTCCCGTCATTAATCAGCCAGGCAAAGAACGGAGAAATGTGGTTTGTGCTTTGGCTTGAAAATATTCACGATGACTCTGCGAGGCATTTGGGCTCCAGGAACAGAGTAAACAAGTTACATTTATCCTATCGTGGAGCCATCTTTTTCAGAAAGACAGGCAAAAACTACGACTGTCATAGGTTGGACCTTGGCCTGAAGCAGCTGCTCCACAAACCCAAATTGGACAATATTAACCCTAAGGCTGGGTTCCTTTCCGTGGGTAGTGCCTTGTCCTGCAGTGACAGGCTCCATTGCGCCTGAATGAGGGACAGCTTTAATGTAAAAAGTGTTATAAAGTCAGGATTGAGAAGATTCTGAACGTACCCCAGATGAAGCACATAAACAGGTGAGACCGGTCTTTGAAGGAGATCATAGAATCACAGAGTGATATGGGGTTGGAAGGGACCTCTGGAGACTATCCAGTCCAACCCCCTGCCAGAGCAGGGTCACCCAGAGCAGGTCCCATAGGAACGTGTCCAGGTGGCTTTGAATGTCTCCAGAGAAGGAGACTCCACCACCTCCCTGGGCAGCCTCTGCCAGGACTCTGCCACCCTCACAGCAAAGAAGCTCCTCCTCAAGTTGAGATGGAATTTCCCGTGTTCCTGTTTGTGCCCGTTGTCCCTTGTCCCGTGTCCCTTGTCCCCGGCATCACTGAGAAGAGTCTGGCCCCATCCTCCTGCCACCTGCCCTTTAGCTATTGCTCAGCATCGATGAGATCCCTTCTCAGTCTGCTCTTCTCCAGCTGAACAGCCCCATGTCCCTCAGCCTTTCCTCAGCAGAGAGATGCTCCAGTCCCTCACCATCCTCACAGCTTCTGCTGGACTCTCTCCAGCAGTTCCCTGTCCTTCTGGAACTGGGGGGTCCAGGTAGGGGAAAATGTCTAGTCTGTAGGAACACCTTTCACTGTTAAAGCCCTTTTCAACAGCATTGCACAGTTCCTAATTTCATTAGAATTCCTGGAATTCAGGACGTCATTCCATTCCTGATGTGGTTAGGGTAATGCAGTGTGCTTTGGAGAGCTGGTCCCACCACAGATCCCAGTGATGGGGCTTCCCCTACCAGAGGCACCCTGGGGTAAGTGGTTTTCTGCTGTTCAGTGGAATTTTTTACTCGAATGAAGAGTTATAGAATCATAGAATGGTTAGAGTTGGAAGCAACCTTAAAGACCATCAGGTTCCAGCCCCCCTGCCCTGGGCAGGGACACCTCCCACCACACCAGGCTGCTCCAAGCCCCCTCCAGCCTGGCCTTGAACCCCTCCAGTGATGGGGCAGTCACAGCTTCTCGGGGCAACCTGGGCCAGGCTCTCACCACATTTACAGTAAAGAATTTCTTCCTGGTATCCAATCTAAATCTCCGCTCTTCCAATTTAAAACCATTCTCCTTGTCCTATCACTACACTTCCTGGCAAAGAGTCCTTCTCCAGCTCTTCTCCAGGCACCCTTCAGGTATTGAAAGGCCGCTATGAGGTCTCCCAGGAGCCTTCTCTTCTCCAGGCTGAACAATCCCAGCTCCCTCAGCCTGTCTTCATAGGAGAGGTGCTCCATCCCTCTGATCATCTTCGTGGCCCTCCGCTGCACCTGTTCCAGCTGGTCCATGTCCTTTCTGTGTTGAGGACTCCAGAGCTGGACACAGTGTTCCAGGTGGGGTC